GTGTATTTTTTTTTTTTTAATTATTATTATTATTTATCTTTTTCATGTATCCTTTATTATTATTAAATATTATATTTCTAGTGTTTTTCTATATCAATATTGTAAGGGGTAAATAATATTTTATAGCTACAGCAAAAGTGCTAAATATTATGATACATGAAAAGTACAGATTGGACTAAATGATATGTCAGCAAAAGGTTATATTTACTGCTGAGATATATTAAACAGGATCTAAGTTGAAATAACGTTTGTTTGTGTGTGTGTGTGAGTAATAGGGGAGAGAGGTACTACTTTTTTCCTCTTTTTGTTGAAAGAAACTGTCCTTGTAGAAACGTTTTCTGTCTTTGGCTTAATGACGTCTGAAATGAGGAAAAAATATTGTTTTGTGTGATAAAGTGACTCCATGTGTTTCTGTTGAATGTTATCCATTGAAATCACCGAAAATATAATTACAAGGAAAATTCCCTTTGAAGTCATAAAACCTTGCTGCTTCACTTTTCCTTTTTACAACATTACTGGCGTTTTGGATCGTGTCCTGCTGTTGTCTGGCTCTACCTACAGAGAAGGGGAAGAAGAGATGTTGCCATTTAATAATGGACGCCATTTGGGTAAAACTCCCAAATGGGGGGGGGGGGGGGGGGGGTGTCCATTGTTTAGCTGTGCAACGATTTTTAAAGCAGAGATGGTTCGCATAAAACTTCATGAAGTCATGAATCTGTCCGCGTCACCGCATTTAGAACCTCACTTACAAATTCCGACAGGCCCCAAAATTTTGCCCCCGCTAATGGTCATAATTTATGATGTGTGGATCAACATGTGCTCATTGGGCAACAGCTTCCTGAGTGCTTAACGAGCATAAAGTCGAACACTTCCGGGCATTAATTGGGCCGGTCGGCAGCGGTAAAGTGCTTAGAGGAGCTTTACATTGTTAGTATGAGAATAAGTCCTTATTAGAAACCAGGGTAGGAAAAGAGGAGAAAAGCACCAAGGCTGGAGCAGATTTTGCTTCCCTTGCTGTGTTTCTAATCATGGCTCACAATAAAGTGACTTTAAGGGCCTCGTGTAGGTAATGCTGAGTTATGTTGTGACGTTAGAAAGTCGGTTCTGTCTGCAAGTAAGCAAAATGAAAGCTTTTGATTCTCCGGTGTTGAGGGATAGGGGCTTTTTGCCGGCGGAATATGCCTAAAATTAAGGACGTGATTACGACTAATTTACCAGGATGAAATAGTCCAATAATAATAATAATAATAATAATAATAATAATAATAATAATAATAATAATAATAATAATAATAATAATAATAATAATAATAGTAGGCCTACATTAAAACGCTGCGCATTACAATAAAAGAATGATATTTTAATATATATCCCTGGGTTATATTAAATTATAACCGTTGTATAATTACACAAATATACTGGACTATGTTCACTTTGCTTCTTCTTGACCTTCTTTGCGCATTCTTGTTCACTCCAAATGTCCCTTTAAAAAAGAAAACTAAAATACGTGGACCAAACGGTGTCCCAAATGCATGTGATTTGCCTCACGGGCCGCAATAAAACACTAAAACTTCTGGGGAAAGAATGACCTCTCTGATTCTGCACACTGACACAACCTCTGCTGCATTCCAGTCCGCACATTGGCTCCACTGTTCAAGCCTTTTAATTTACAGCCTTCCACTCTATGGACTGGGCTGTTTTTCCTGTTTGTATGTGAGCAACAATACGGGGGAAAAGAAACAGAGGGGGTGGTGAACCAAAATAGTCTAGAGAGAGATATTTTTGACTTTTTAAATATAGAATTATTTCATGTAACTTATTAGACATTTATAATCATGGCATTCTTGATGACATGAAAAGCGTCCAATGGTCCAAAGAATATAATCAATAATCCTTTAATGCAATTAATGAAAACACATCATTGCGTTTCTGCTGTAGACAGTATGACATATATATCGAAAAAATACCAGGAGTAAACACATTTTAAAATTTTTATGTAGTTAAAATACCGATTTTAGAAAATTTGTATGGAGGAGTTTCTAAAAATACTATCTCTGATTCATTAAATTTTTTTTTTTTTTTTTTTTGCAATTTCCCCAAATAGTTTTTTTGTTCCTGCGCATTAAAGCTGCAAATAAGTAAATGTGATTTTTATTAAATAAATTGAGGGGAAAGTAAGAAATAATATCGCCTCGCAGACTAAGTTTTTGTGCTCTGTTTACATTATTCTGTGCAAAGCGCGGATGTCCCATATGGTCAAGAAAGGGTGAAGGGAAACTTTTATTGCACCGTCCACTTCCTTCTCTTTTGTTGTCTCTTTTTATGGTCTTTTCGGGATCCCCCTCCTTTTTTCCCACAAAAACACACAAAAAAAGAGAAAAACAACGACAAAAAAGCACAGCAAACAGGGTTAAACATTTCAGGCAACGCATATTTATTCTTATTGGATAAGATCAATGGGCTGAACAAGTATGGCTGCTGCAGCCAAAGTGATTGCGCT